TAGGGCAGCACAGCCTTCTACAAACGTATACGGATCAAAAAGCAAATTTTACTATTCGTGCCCATGGTTTTTAAGAAAAGTGTATAGTCACTACAATTTTGATGGAAATTATCTGACAGGTCAATTTAGGAACGTGGCACATCGTAACATTACGGAAAATCAAACCTTACACATGGCACAGTTATTTAGGCACCATCTCCTCCAACTCCAATACGTCGTTATGTATAAGGTGCTGAAGGAGTGGCTTCTGTACCTTCCACCCATATAGTACTGAATAACATACAATTAGCTTTTACTTACAAAAATGTAACATTTTCGTTTAATACCTGGTGCCTACTTAATTCTACGATCCCAATGGAATTGGCGTATTCATTGTTCTACCGGAAATAAAGGATTACAGCCGTCGCAGGTGAGCATTTTTGATTCAAATTCAAATTTTAATTATGCATTGCAACTAGTGGCACTGTTACTCAGCCGGTGCGAAGACAACATGGTATTACTGACATTTTGCAGCAAACAATCAGCCCAGAAATTTATCTCAAGAAGGATGATTACAAACTTACTACAGACAAACCGAACAGTCCTGAACCACAATTTGGCTTGACCTTACTGTGCAGATCAATACATAAGATGCAAAAGCGATCGGTAGATGACCAAAATCTTCATTTAGACATTCCAGTATCGCGCAGTGGAGGAAGCCACCATAAGTCTTCGAACGCGCTAATTAAGTAGAAAAAAATATTTCACTTTTAGCAATAATGAGAACTCTACACATGTAAGCTCTACAGATATGCTAGGACAAATAGCTCATCATATTGCTTTTAGCTCACAACACGATTCCACATCTCATCAAACTACAAGATTAATAAGTATCTCAAGTATCTCGCACTACGTTCGGATTCGTTACGACTTGATTTCAAAGTTGTTTTTTTTTATTTTCCATGGAACTCTTGGAGAACGCACGGCGTTCGCCTCGTTGCCAGGATTAAACCAGTTCAGGACAGTTTAGTAGTATTTAATTACAATACGATGCTGATAATGACACTATGGTATTATGTGACTCTGATCCATAGAAACGCTCGCCCTCCAATTGTCATTATGGTGTTTATCTCATACGCTGCTGCTTTACTTGGCTCTACTACAAGGATATTCTATATGATGTGCTCTTGTACTATATGCTTTATGCTCGAGAACGAGCTGTTCTTTTGAAGGAGTGAGTAGACCGTAGTTCTAACTCATCCGGTCAATATCCATTTCTTCCATTTATTCCATATGGTTTCAGCTGGCACCAACTTATTGGCATCATGACTCGACTGCCGACTATAATTTAATCGTTATAGTTTCCGACATAGCCCCTTGACAGCACCATCGTTCGCCTTCACCTCATTTCATCTAACAAACCTTTCTTAGCAATTATTCCGTTGAAATTGCTTATGTGTATGTGCCAGCAAGGATCTGCGAAGTGATGGGCAACGACATTCAAGCGCATGGTCGAGCTTAGTACGAATGGAGGTGTCATGTCCACAACGTCGGGCGAAGTCAGCTATGAGACGTGGCACGACAAGTCACAATTGCGCAACGGTATGGAAGCCTTCTTAAACAGATGCCAGCTGAGAGCAGAAGCCTCTAACCAGCCTTGTTACAATCTGTTGAATAAAGTGTATTAGGCTATCGTGATTATACATAGTTAAACCCACCGCACCACACCTCCAGGTTAAGGGCTAGTTACCCTCTAATCTGATACTCTAAGGAATGGAGATGTCGGTTCACGTCTTCCCATAATGAACGCGGCTCGAAATTACGGTGTCGCAGGAGACTGGGGATGAGCAGTGATGGTCCAAACCTAACCATGCTCGATTCCTCCCCACGACCCTCTTATCATGATTTTAATGTAATAAATATGTACAGCCTAACTATGTATTTATATTACACCTTCAGATATGCACCGGCGCAGCCTATAATCTGATAACCCTCGTCGTGGGATTTGCGGCATACACATGTCCCTGCTTAGAACTAAGCCGAAGGGCAGCGAGGGTCGTCGTATAAAATGAAAACTGCTCACACGTTCCGTATTCTCTCGCCCTTCCAAGGTTTGTTCCTATCGATTCTCAAAGCATCTCGTGACATTTCTGCATTCATTTCGCATCTAGCGAACTCAAAAATCGATTACAACCAGATTGGCTACATTCCATGTCAATCGTTCAAATTAATACTGCGAAAGTGTCAAAAGCAAGCACAGCACACTACGAAGAGCATGTAACCTCTCGTTCATTGAGGAGAAAACGCGCTCGACAGAGGAGAGCTGCGACGCGACCGCACCGCAGCCAGGATAGGAAATCCCGGCTGTGGTCAGCTGTTCGGTCGAAGCTTTGGCTGGCTATCTCTTTGTTGTTTGTGCTCGTTAACTGAGTATTTTTTGTTAAAATTATTGTCACAAACAAATTCAATCCAAACTCAAATTCTTGCCTGGAGTACGTGTCCCTCAACTTATAACCTAATCAGACAATCTTTTACATGCTTTGTCTGTGTCGCCCATGGTTTTGATGATATTGATGGTATTGATTGGGGTGCTATACAAGTGGGTGGGATGGGCACGCTCAGCTTTTCACGCATGTCAACTTGCTGCCCTCACCCCCCCCCCCTAGATTGGCTACACACCCCCTGGCTCACAGATTCCCTGATTCTCGTGACAGTATAGTAGCGGGTAGCAGTCCCACTTACACATTTTGTTCAAAAAATGCGGCGTGCCCACCCTACTGTATTTGCACCTTGATTGGCATTTTAACCAATTTCATTCATAATTTTTCAGAGAGTGGGTCGGTAGCGCGGTCATCGCAGTATACGAGGGCACTGCTGCGGGAATACATTTAAATCGCGTTAAGTGTTTTTTTTTGTTTGAAACGGAGAACTAATGCCTAGACAGGGGAAGGACTCCGCGGTGTATGAGCCACTTTCCGGAGTTACAGACCGCCTAACTTACGTTGTGCTCCCAGAGGATGGCCTCTGTATTGGTCAGGCATGGCTTCTCAAAAATTCTGTGCATATTTCGCTCTTAGGGAGTAAATAATGGCGCTGCCAAATGAGAAGCTTTGCCGCTGCGCCGTTCATTTAGCCATCTTGAACAGACTTCACTCGTTTCTTCCAATTTGTCCTCCTCTAATTTGTCACACATTCTGGTCATAAAATACAGAAAAACTTTTGGCGTTGTTCACTTTAAAATAGCGATGGAGCCACTATTCGCACAGATCAGTAAGGCAATCTTAGGCCAAGGGTTTTGCCCAACCATAGGGAAGACAGTGTACCTAAACATTTCACAAGCTTCCTGGAAGAAGCAGAAACCTTTCCTTCCTCAGAGGGAATTTGCTCACCTTTCCCTTGAGCAACTGACCATGACTTCTTGACCAGAAAATTCATCTTTTCAGCTTAAAATTGTTCCTTCGTACCATCCTGTGCCAAATGTCGGGCATCATAAGAAAAAACAACATTGGGATCGTAACACTTCCTAGCTTTAAAGTGTTTTTTTGTGGAGAGTTAGGCTGGTGTCAGAGTCCGCGATTCACTCTTTTCGCGATTTTCGCGATTTGCGCGATTTTCGCGATTTTTCGCGATTTGCGCGATTTTCGCGATTTTCGCGATTTTTTCGCGATTTGCGCGACGGGTCACGGAAATCACAAGTGCCCCATCCATACTGCAAGGTGTTCTCCAATCCCGCCGTCACTTCTGCTTGATGGTTATGGTTTAATGGAGACTGCTCATGATTCCACTTGTTTCATATCCAGTGTTTCAATTGTTCAAATGGGGCACTTGCAATTTTTGTGATTGGTTTGGTTTGATTCCTGAAAAAAAATAGGAACGATTCAAGAGCATTTCAATGAACTAATAGACATTGAAACAAGTAGAACCACAAACATTCGTCTTCCAATCTTTACTGCCAAGCAGAATTCGCAGCAGGATTAAACAACACCTCGCAGTATTCATCGGGCACTTCCAACTCCTGTGATCCATCGCAGGTTTCGCGAAAATCGCAAAAATCGCGCAAATCGCGAAAATCGCGAAGAGCGGATCGCGGACTATGACACTGTGTTCCTTTTTTTTTTTACTATTTTTTCAATTGTTGAATCGTTTTTTGAATTCGAACTGATGTTATATTTCTTAACAGTAAGCTCCCGTATGTTTACGCTCCCTTTTTTGATTCTCGTTTTTGGAATGATTTCAAGTTTCACGCTTTAAGAACAACCTGGACAGATACTGCATCTGACCACGATGGGCAGCACAGGACCTCTTGAAATTCCTCCTGTAAGGAAGAAAAGTGCTGAAATGTACTTGCATGATTACGATCTCGATGACGATCTCTCGATTGCTTCACCTCCCGTCAGCAAACCTGTCATCGACGTCGAGGATCCCGTGGATGCTCTCAGTGCGAACAGGGAGCAAACTAGACTGGTGGCTGCAGGATGTCGTGGAGGTGAACCTTCATTTAATATTTCGTATTATACTTATCGGGAAAGTCACGTTCATTCTTTTCGGGTAGTTGAGCTAAATTCCAGAATTTGTCCTTCGGAGACTCCATCAAGCCCACTTTGATGTTCACCCTTCGCACAGTCGATCATATATTTAAATCTTTTGATGGAAGGACCTTTTTTATAAATTCGGCAGTGGTTTTCATGGTAACAAGGAATCGGATCTCACCTGCATCATCACAAAGTTCTTGGTGAAACTCCAGTTCGGGGGGGGGGGGCACTCCATTGCTATCTTATCCGTAGTACTAGAGAGCAGTTCTTTGGGCTATCGAACACTACGGATAAGATAATAAGTGAACGACTCATTTCGAGCGTACTTTTGATAAGGACCGGTGGATGTCCTACATTCCACACTACCTGCCCACATCCCATCCACTTTTCTGCACAGGTGATCCACCCTGGAGCTCCTGCACCCTTAGCCCTTTGCGGAGGTGTCCTTTCTCCTGGTCCAGGACCGTTCCCTTGGGTCATGGCAGGCGGAAATGTGAAAACGTTTCAGGGTTTCTCACCCATTACACCAATATTTATCAGAAGTCTACTTTAAATGAGTCGATTACGTGTCGTGAGCCCTCTAATCCTTATCTTGAGTATTGGAGAAAAAATGGAGTGCCCCCCGAACTGGAGTTTCACCCAAAGTCTTTTTTTGGATTACCCTGGAAATATTTCGTGGGATGGAACTTTCAGAGGTTTAGATGGAGGTTGTGCTGCCCTCGCCAAGGCGTTTTTTCTCTCAGTAAATCTTGCAAGCTTTCCTACTTTACTCTGAAACTGCTCCACAGGTCAATATCGCTTCAGCTTTTGTAGTGAGCCCTTTTAGTCGTGGTCTCGTTATGCACACCTCCTTTAAGTACACTTGGCCTGCTTATCAGGAGCTAGGTCAACAGAGTCGAAACTTTGCTGATACAAAATTACTAATCCGAAGAAGGAGTGGCTTTGATCTCCGTTTTCCAAAGAGCTGGCAAGAGAATTTTTGGGAGAAAGGGACCTATTTCGAAAAGATTTCTCGAAAGTGCAGTGACGTGGGGGACTGGTAGGTAGATCCTTGAAGGTGCAGTGGCGTGGGGGACTAGTAGGTAGATCCCTCAAGATTCGGTAGGTATAGTCCCTGAAGGTCGTTAGAAGAGCCATTCCGAGAGATTGCAAAGGCAACGAAAATTTCAGAATGCAATGGGTTGACCTTGACAAGGTCCCATATTGCTTTTACATGTGGAAGGTACTTTATTGTTTAGTAAGAAGCTACAGTTTAGACTCTTTCAGTACTGAAAGTTTTCAAAATGGACGAGGATGGCTTAGAACAGGTCGCTGATTTGAGATCTGCACGGAGTCGTCGTTTGAACCTGCTATATTCTCCAAGTAACGTTGCTTGGAGTAAACTAAAAGGTACACTTAGTTCCTTCTTCTAAATGCTGCGTGCTTGTGTCTATGATTCACACCTCAGCATCCTCATGTTATGTTTAGACCAACTGGTAGCAACAACGTCCAACAATGGAGCTGTAGTGCTGTGGAATGTTCAGAAAGGAAAAATAGGTTTGCTTTGATTAAGTTCTCATTTTTTCGTAACATTTTCTAGCTACTTCACTCCATCTTCAGAATTGCATTACAAGGCGCATCAGCGTTCGGCTACCGTGGTTCATTTTCATCGTTCCAATGAGAATTTGCTGGTTAGTGGCTCGCGAGATGCTGCTGTGTTCCTGTACGATCTTCGTGAACAAGATCCCGTGAAGAAGTTTGGGTTAGTGTATTTCAATCAGGCAGTGTTTGTGACTATCATCCGTCAAAGACCATAGCATTGTTTGTCGCAACTCTCCACGTTACGGGTCCAGTAATTGCTTGAAAATCCATCCATGATGCGCGATTGTGTTACAAAGGTTTTCCGGAGTTCTCCCTCAATGTTTGTGATTTCCGTCGAGATTTGGAGAGGACCACATAGGAAGAACGTTTTCCTTGTAGCAAAGCCGAAGCTGTGGTGGGCATTCTCTAGGGACACATCACCCATTCCCTTTCATTGGAGCTTTTTTTGTAATTATGGACTTTTTGCAAGAGAACCTTAAAAATGAGAGATGGTAAGGAAATGAAGTAGTCATAGTGAGT